TATGCTCTTCCCATAACCCTTTTGATTTTTTATACTATGCGAAGGATGTTGACTTTTACCTTTTATATAATGAATTGATAACTACGATTCCCTTATAATTTGACAGAGTGTTATCATATATTTTTACTTAGTCAATTACAAATATTGTTTTGAGTATGCTTGGAGGTTAAAATATACCATTAAAACCGAAGAAAGCATGTCTAGTAGACCCTGATTCTTGTTCAACCTTGAAATGGTAGTTGAGGGACATCTCTTGCATCCTCGTCATTAAGCATTTGTTCGCGTTCACTGCACGAATTCGCCATCCAGTATCATTGAATAGCAAAGATTAATTAACTTGTTTTAAAAATCAATCGACAACGCACACATGTAAACATACCAAATATCCATCGGGCTTGAACGAGAGCAACCTCAGGGTTGTGGACGAGAAATGGGACGGTGCGGACGAGGTAATCAGGCTCGGGTTGGAAATCAGCATCGAAGACGGCCACAAAGTCGCATTGCTTGACGTAGTTATGCGTAAGAGCTTCTTTCATAGCTCCTGCTTTGTAGCCATTCCTGTTATCTCTCCTTTCACACCTTATGTTTATGCCTTGGCTTTGCCATTTTGAAATCTCTATGTCCACACCTTCCTACAATTCCTCTTTCACATATATCATACTATTCAATGTGCATCACAATATGTGAATTTTTTTTTGTCGTTTGGTAAAAGTTAAGATTCACAATATGTAAGTTGTCACGTATATACTAGTCTCTCTCGGCTATACAAAATTTTGTAGCAAATATTTCTTTTGTGAGTTAACAAGAAAAATTAGATTATAGGAAACGGATAAACATTTTTGCTAAGTATCATAGTTTTCTATTCCAAAACTAATTTGATAATGTATGAAATATTCCTATATTTGTTTTTTCATTTTTACGTCTTCTTTGAAAGTGCAATCTTAACAAATTTAAGTGAAAATAATAAGAAAAATATATTTATATTATTTGTTAATTTTAGGTATATAAGAAAAATATTTTGAAATTCGTAAATTAGTTGTTTTTAATATAAGAGGTAAGAAAAAAATGTGTTCATGAAATTGCTAGGCCCTAATTAAATTGTCAGAGAGGATCTAGCGGCCAACTAAATAATATACATTTCAGAGAACTTTTTCAGGTATTATTAATTAAAAACAATAAAGTATGTTAAATATACATTAGTATCATAGTTTATATTAATGGGAACTAATAAAAAGTTATATGCTCGACTTCTATTTATCAAAATATAGTGGACCGTTTGGCTAAATAAGCAGCCAATTTTAGAGCACCACAGAAATCGTCAGAATCTTATTTCTGCTATATATATATAACGATAAAATATTAATAAAGTATTATTTTGTCTTCTAACAAGTGCTACTTACCCTTACGACCGGATCCGTGGAATCATCTACAACTTGGACTACTAGCCGGCTCGATGGCCATACCAAGCTGCATATTGCCGCTATAGATAGTTGAAAGACCTAAAACATAGCAAATAGAGTATGGATTAATCTGTCGTTACTTCTTACTATATTATAGTAGAGACAGGGTATAAATTAATATACATACCTCTTTTTCATTGTACATTGGTATTTGGACAAGAACCATTGGGTAGTTTTCTGATCCAACCTCGACATCTTCTTGCATGGCCTCCCATTTGTACACTTTCTCGGGTTTACGTCTTAATAACTTGACGAAGAGTATCACAATGTTCATGTAAAAACTCTCGAAGAACACTATGATGGATAAAACCAAACACATAATCACCAAACCCTTAAAAATGGGAAGAAGCACAAGACTCCTCGTTTTTCTCCACAAATATTGGATTTGCAACCATTCAGATTGTGCAGCTTTGTTGTCTGCTTCAAGCCTCTCGTGGGCAGCTGCTGGGTCTTCAAGACTCCATCCATTGAACTAATTCACATAAGAGAAATAACTACAATTAGTTTATGTAACATTAACTGATAAAGAACACATAAATAGAGAGAGCTATATATGATTACTAGAAGCAAGAGGAGGCTAAGAGTGGAGTCGTATAGGAAGAGGAAGGGCTTCAGAAATAGAGACATTGATGCTCTAAAAGCTGAAGCTCGAGAGTGTAGAAGTGAGCTTAATTTTCTTTCTTGCATGTCAGAAATGACCCTTTTATTGACATTCTTTTTAATACTTTTTACTGTGATGCCTTATCACTTTTTTACTGATACTGATTCCTCTCTTCTTCTTTGTCATAAACTGTTTTAAATTATTATTTTCTTTCATATCCCAATTTCAGTGGACGACGTTAACGTTATCTCAGCTTCGCTAAGCTGGTAGCCACAGAGGGGAACACAACAAAATGAAATGTATCATCACCTCTTCATTGTCTGGTTCGAAATTCCCACGTTATTCATTCATTCTTGATATTTTTTAGCAGTATTATTGAAGGTTAGTTGTATTTCGTACTTTAGTGGCCTACCACGTTTTCATTAACAATTAAAAGTGTTATAAAAATAATTAAATTCTTACGTGAATTTTAGAAAAAAAAAGAGGTTATACTAAGTGATTATTGGGAGATATTTTTTATTATTGCTATGGTTAAAACCAAAAGAATGCATATGTTTTATAATAGATTCATGATAATAATCACTTGAGTTGTACTCGTTATCATTAGCCTGTGATGTATCTGATATACAATTCTGTGTCGTATACTCGTATACTCATCTTGTATACTATAAAGCAGATTCAAATTCTTTTGATTTAACATGCCGGTCTAGCGTCGGTCAATTATGTATCTGTAACCCGGCCATTTTTTTCCCCTAGTTGATGAAAATGAGAGGATTTACAATTAGTGAAACGGCATCATCAGAGCTAAGAACAATATGTAGGTTATGTAAGGATATGGTTTCTTGGATTCGTTTTGATTTGAAAGAATTATTCTGCGCGGAATCTTATCTACTGTTGTGTTTAAGCCGCATTTCTTTTGTTATTAGTCTCCCATATGCGATTTGCTATAATGGAGAAAAAACTGAGTTGGTGAAATTTGATACTGTTCAAAACTATTAGTTATAGAGATGAATTCAATCTAGTATACGTGAATGTTGAGTGAGCAATCCCATTCTTTTAAAGGAGTATTATAGAATTTTGTAAGGCTCTAAACTCTTAGAGCAGTCCCATAGATCGTATCTCTATGGATATCCAACTAATAACAACACTAAAATGAAAGAAAAAAAGAGTCAAGAAAAATTCATGAATATCTCTGAACAACGCCTGAGAAATACTAAAATAAGAAGAAAAAAAATTTTAATTGAAAAGAAAATTGTTATTAAAATATTATTTTTGTATTACTAAAACTTGAAACACCATTGGAGTTGCTCTTATAATGTCTCATCCCAAAATCGACTTTTTAAAAAAAAATACATACTCGTTGAATTGAGCTAGTTTCTTCGTCAAGTAATCGTCATCCTACCTCTCACACGAGATGAAAACAAAGTAGATATTTGCTAGGCATTGCATGGGCTTCTTTTGCGTTTTAGTATGATCCAACGGCTGGGAATGACTTCCATCCAAGAAGATGTGTGAAAGAAACATTGTGATCATCTGTACACAGACACGCGTACATTTATAGAGAGTTCCATCTAAATAGATACAACACACACACACACGCACTCTCTCTAATTTTACTGATTTTTTTTTGCTAAAGATCACCGGCTTCGTGTGTCTTGCCTTAAAATCCGATTAGCTTAGGGTTCATTCCTGCAATTTCAATCTCTCTCGTTGATTGAACTATTCAATCCTCGATTGAGCTCTGAGTTTGTGTTCGATTCAATCCTTCAAGATTTGTATTGATTAAGATGTTTCGGAAGATATGATCTTTACCGTCTCTGGCTATTACTGGTTTATATGTTAAAAAAAAGAAGAATGTTATGGAGACGTGGAAGAAGAAGTATGAGACTCGGAGGAAGAGATCATGGGAACGACTTAGTGTGGGATTAGGGTTTAGAGGCTTGCATAGCTCATTCTTGAACCACTGTTCTGCTAGGAATGCACCTTATGTAACTCTGCTACATGTTAGAGATTATAAACTTTGTACTAAGCCCTTGAAGCTTGTTTCGAGTTCTTGCTATCTACCGCGGGGAGATAGGAGGGGAGGATGCTCACTTTATCTGCGCAGAGGAGCGAGCACTAGGTGTTGCAGATGGTGTGGGAGGTTGGGAAGAGCTAGCTTGGTATCGACGCAGGTTACTACTCTCGTGAGCTTATGTCTAACTCAGTGAATGCAATCCAACACGAGCCTACAGGATCTATTGATCCAACTAGAGTATTGGAACGGCTTGCATCATAGCGTTAAGAGGCCAGAGACTTCACGCGGTTAACTTAGGGGACAAGGTGGTTCATTGTAGTTTGTGAAAGGGCATACTGTTTTCCGTTCCCCGGTTCAACAACATGACTTCAACTTCACTTATTAGCTGGAGAGTGGAAGCAACGGTGATTTGCCAAGTTCAGGTCAGGTTTGGAGATGTTATAATAACTGGAACAGACGGATTGTTTGATAACAGCGCAGAAGATTGCAGCAATTGGCGCGGCAAAGAGCACATGATGAAAACAGACAAACTCCGTTCTCTACAGCAGCACAAGATGCTGGTTTCAGATACTATGGAGGTATAAGCTTGATGACATTACAGTTGTTGTCTCCTACGTCGAATGAAGATGTGTGAGAGATGTGTTGAGTTTTAGAAGGTTTGTGTTTTTGCATACACCTCTCTTTTTTTGTTTGGTGGCTTTTGAGCAAGTCTCCTCTGATTCTTTTTTTTGTCAACTGAATAAGTCTCAGCTGATTACATTTGATTTTAAAATTACGCAACAACTAAAATTTTTTTATTATTGAAATAGACTGTACCAAATCATAACTTACAAAAGTTTAGGGATTTAAATAAGGAATACAAAGTATTTGTGGGGGTTAAAAACAAAAGAACATAATTTCAGTTTTGTCCGAACAATTTCTCCGTCTCTGAAACTTTGGAATCGAAATCCAGTTTCAGAAATTGAAATCTCGAAACGTAAGAATTTAGGGGGAGGAAATGGCGGCAGCGAATCAGTCGTGTATATTCTGTCAGATCATACGCAATCCAACCTCCACCACTCGTCTCCTTCACGCCGTACGTTCTTCTTCTTCCTCTTCCCCTCTTGATGGACTAATTGAATAGTCTTCTTACATTTTTAATTTTCTCAGGATGAGAAGGTTGTTGCGTTTCAAGACATCAGGCCCGCTGCTCAGAGGTTCGACTTGTTCACTCGCTTTACTTCTACTGATTTTATTATATATAGATTCCCTATCCCAACTTCAATGATCTCCATGCTTTATTTATTATTAAAGGTTAAAAACTCTGACTCAGGCACTACCTGGTAATTCCAAAAGAACACATTCCAACGGTTAGAGACCTTCAGAGAAGAGATGAAGACTACTCATTGGGTTTGGTTCACTCAAAACCAATTCATCTGTTTCTCTTGTGTATATTCTTCTTTATGCAATAAGGATTGTTCGTTTTTGTGAGCAGTAAGTCACATGCTAAGTGTTGGAAAACAATTGTTGCAGAAAGATTCACCTCAAGCCTTACATAGGTGAGGCTTCCTGGTTACAAAGCACTAAATGAAGTTCGAGTAAGGCTTTTCCTTCTCTTTGTCGTTACTTATGTAGGCATTAACCTGGTCTCTTCTTCCTCACAGATTTGGTTTCCACCAGCCACCTTTCAACAGTGTTGATCATCTCCATCTCCATTGTTTTGCATTACCTTTTGTGCCCAGGTATTTGCAATATTCTCTCTTACTTTCCCTTGGCCCAACTCTGCAAATAAGTTATTTTCTTACTAAATATTCTTTTTAATGAAAATGTGACAACAAAACAGATGGAAAGCTATCAAGTACAAGTCTTTGGGACCATTTGGTGGATTTATTGAAGCAGAGACCCTGCTGGCCAAGATAAGGCCTCTTCATTCAACGGTGTAACTTAGCCTGACTCACCTAACTTCATTGTGGTGCTTCTCTTAGCTAAGCTTGTGCTTCTATATAGTATTCTCTGTTCTTTTGCTGGCAAACCTGTTATGCAATGCCAAGGTATTATTGTGGATTTTATATGGTATATTGGCATGTCGAGTAATTTTATGTAGTTTCTGTCGCTGACCAAATAGTTGTAAGCAGTGACTGACTCCATTGTCATTATTTGCTATACATGATTGTGAGATGTGTAACAAATAAAAGATATTTCTATGGTGTAACATTCTGGTGAAGTTTAAAAGGAACCACTAGAACTCAAGCATATGCCCTAACAAACAACAGAGCCTCTTCACGTTGTTATGTCTTCAGTAATTGAAATTCTTGATTTGCTCATTGTCACAAATTATAAGCTTTTGTGGATGGATCTACTGTCAGATATCAAATACCAACTCTTCGTTTGGTTCTTGCTCTGTTTTTTAAGCTAATAAGTTATGTATATGACATATACAGAATCAATAAAACAGTTTCTGAAATTCTTAAATCGATTGGTACTCTGTCCTTGATATGTTTCTGTAATGCCATTTGAACACAGTTTCAAGGGATCATGCTGTTATGTTATAAACAAGCAGAGAACTTTTACCAATTTCTTTTTGATTGAAAATGATTATAGATCAAGAGATTTGATGAGTTCGTCTTTTTCTCTGTTTGGTAAATGGTAATACAACTCTTAGGTTTCTTCAATACGTTACCCGTGTCTGGTTGTTTTGCTACTATCGTTGTGTCACCTAACGGTACTATAGTTTCTTGGAACATGTTTGCAGATTAACCACATGAAATGCTAACAACTCATGGAAATAAGTAGAAATCTCATGTATCAACTAGCTTTTAATCAAATTAAATCTTTAAGCTTATAACTTTCATTTTAATTTTTTTCATTTAAATATGAAATGACACTAGAGGTCATTAGCTCAATTGGAAAGGATTCTGGTCCTGGTCCTAGTAGTGGTAGAGGTTCCCCAGTTAGAAAATTGTTGGAACGAAACATATATCCTCTGATTTTCTTAAACCGAATCAGCAATTTATCTACCATATGTATATTATTGTTTGCGAAATGTTCTTTTTGCTCTAGACTCTCAAGTCAAAAGTTAGCATGGATAATACATATATTTGATATGAATAAATAAATTTATTAGATATATATTAACATATTATTTATATACTAAATTTATTATATAATTTTAAATAATTCTTAAGTATTATGTTATTATCCAAAAAATATTTTTAGTCATAAAAAATAATGATGGCAATTAAATTAATAATGGATATAATAATATGTATTTCTAACATGAATGCTTTCATATGCGGACAAAACACATAGTTTTGAATAATAAAAAGGCTAATCTTAATTATCCAAAAAGTCAAATTATTATTTACTGTTACCAAAATGACGATGATATAATTTTTAATATAAATTGTTTAGACTAAAAGAAAACCGTATATTATATTAGATACATGCATTTTTAATGGAGTTATTATAAAATTTCTGATCAAATTAAATAACGGATGTCATATGTGATGATTTTTTATCAAGTATTATAAAAATTAAGAACAGATTTTGATAAAAAAAACTGTCATATATATTTTGATGAAAATTTTGTCATATATAAATATATTTATGCTTTATTTAAAAATTCAAGCATATAAAAAATAAATTATCATGATAATTCTTTTAATTCATATGTACTAATAAATAATTATAAGATGATTGTATCCGCTTACGCAGATTAAACACCTATTTAAAAAATATATGTATATATACCAAACCCACTGAAACGCAAAACGAATTTGTAAATTGTATCAGCATCCCCAATATTTAACTTGTCCTCTCGTGTATTTATAAGACTTGACATCATATGCGACCCAAAATCCAAACCTGATCCAAAATACCCAACTCAAATCTGATTCGAAATATCCAAATTTGAATCCATTCAACTGCGAAATATTATATTGGGTTAAAGAGAATTAAAAATCCGAATCCGATAGAATAATATCTGATATCCGACGTTAATCAGAAAAAATCCAAAAGTTATATAATATATTACCTTAAATATATATTTTCCTTTATATATACTAATATGTTATATATTTGTTGATGTATTTTATGTTCAAGTTATATAAAGTTAAAATAATTTTAAATATTTTGCTAGTTTGGATACAAATATTGTTACTTTGAATTATAACTTTGGATAAACAAAAAATAAAAAATCGTCAATAGTATATAGATTTTTGATTACATAATATACAATTCAGATATATCTGAAAGTGCTTGAGGCTTAACGAACCGAATCAGATTTGAATATAAAATATCTGAATGGATACCTACTCCTAAGTCAAAATATCCAAATTTCTGAAAAACTTAATTCGAATAAGTATCCATAATCAATGTTAAATAATGTTAAAGAGCGAAGAAATTTGGTTCACTTAATCATTGTCAAATATTGTACAATATCATATGTTTTATAATTTGATATCATGGTCCTTGATTGTGTTCAAAAAAAAATCATGGTCCTTGATAATGTTTTAAATGATTGTTAACAAGATTAATTAAAGTTGACGGTGTATAAAACTATAATATTACTCCATCCGTTCAATTTCGTTGTGATTGTAAAGTAAAATATTCATTTCAAAATAAATGTCATTTTATGATTTTAATACAAAATTTATTAATTTTATATGCTATTCTATTTCTTATTGGTCAAAACATTGTTAGATTTATTGGTAACTAGGGGTTGGCCCGCCTTGAGGGCGGGTATATGTACAGTAAAAATATTTAATTTTTCATATATTTTAATTTTACAAAATATTTTAAAATAATAATACTATTTTAATTGAAAATTTTAGTTTTATATTTTATTTAAGTTTGTTGATTTGAGTTGAAAGAACCACTAACAAATTTTTAGTGAACCTAAAATTATTAAATAAAGTAAAATTAAGAAGAATGTAATTATTTATATTTCTTCTTTTGATTTTACTGCACTTTCGATATGATATAAAAACAACTGATACATTTTTCTAAGAGTATTCAAATTTTAATATTTATACTAATTAGTTTATCAGGATAATAATTAGTCCATCTCTAAGCTAAATAAATTGAAAATATAATGTACTGTAATAAAATTATAAAAATTTATATTTTAAAGTACTAAATAAAGAGCCTCAATAATGTCATAGATAATAATTAATATATTTTTTTAACAAAAATGCTGTTTTATAATATATGTTTTTTCACTTTATATTAAATTTTCAATTTTGACTTGAATTTAATTTAATTAATAGGATTTTATTAATTACCTTTTGTAAATCAGTTTAGCATTTGTTGAACCTTGTCTTAGAACAAAATTTTTTGTTGGAAATTTTCCTCATGCTATTTGAAAATATTTTTCTACAGGTTAATAGTGTTATAGATTAATAAAATATTACATTTTTAACTGAATTTTACTTGAGTTTCATACCATATCATATCAAATAATTTACTTCGGATAAGTTATAATGAACCCAACCGCATACAAATTCAGTTCTCGTCTTCGTAAGCCCGGTTCGAATCCTGCTGGCCATCGTCGATTAAAATGTGGTGAAAAAGGCGACCACTCTCAGTATGTTTTAAGAAAAACCTCTAGGTTTATTCACCCACTGGTTTTAGCGGTTTTAGGAGTTTTTGTGGTGTTATGTTACTTATCTTGATAAATTGTAGAGTACATATGAAGTTTTTGGATTGGGAACAAACTTTATGATTAAAAACCCAATCGGCTTCTTAATGCAATGAAAACATTAATATGCTTTAATGTTTTCGATAATGTTACACAAAACCTGCAATAATGCTCTGTAATTCTGTAGTTATGAATATGTAAATGAGCCCAAGCTAAGCGCCCTATCATCCAAAGACTGAAAAATTCACTGAGATTGACTTTAAATGGATGGGACATGTCATAATTTTAGTGAGATATAGTGAAATATGTAATCGTCATACCAATAGCAACTGATCTAGCAACCAATAAGGTATTTTTCAGCTGGTAGTGATAGAAAGCTGATTTCATGGTCGACAGTCAGTTGTTGGATAGATTTGTGATACTAAGTCTTCCTTGACATTTGATGTAATCCGCAACCAAATTCATCTTTAAATCATATGTAAATGTATTTTGCTCTATAATCCATAACCCCAAGAGTCGCCCTGAATAAAAGAAGAGAAGACATTCAGATCTTAAGAATCCCATCATTGTTTCACGTGTTCAGATACACACAATCATCAATGTTTCTTATGTTGATTCATACTATATAACAGACAGCTTGATATATGCTATTATTATGATTAGATAAAGACATAAAATACCAAAGAATTCACCATTGCAATAATCCGTAAGTAACAAGATTATTCTTCCTGATCTCGTCGAAGTTGTGCTACCCATTGATGGAAGTGGGGGCATTTATAGTCGGAGCTTTTCTCGGTTATTTTGAAGTTGGGATGAGGTCAATTAAACACTGTAGAGTGAGAAGACTGGGAGAATAGGTTAATTATGTAGAAGCTAGGTGTAAAGTACTTATCAATGCAGATGTGAGACGTTACAGAAACGTGATCATTGTCTTTGATCTCTGCAACTTTGTTCGGCGGAGAAACAAAACTCTAACGCAAAAAGACGCTAAACCCTTTCTCATGGGCCTAAATTACTAAATTTTAATAAATTTTAACTAGAAAAAAGTCAAGCCCAAACTGTAAACGAAGTACAATCAAAAATATCCTTCAGAAAATGATAACATAATAAGTGTCATTTTTTTGGTCTAAGGAGAGAAAAAACTTTACTTTATTAGTATAGATATATGATTAATTTTTAAAAGGCTACATAATTCTTTTAAGAGGGAAACAAAAAACCAACTCCAACAAATATAATTTCATAGACCAATGAAGTTTGACCTCGCGGTAAATGAGTGTATTAGGCACTACACCACTGAGGTTCAATTCTCGCTGGGAGCGATTATTTACAATGTTGGGTTCCTGACAAAAAAGGTGAAACCACCTTCTTTTTACTATATATATAATTAGGTGATTCTCCTGTGCTAATGCACGAATATAAAACAGATATAAAGTATTTATAAAGTAAATATATTATAATAATTGGTTGTATTTACTTTAATCAATTTATAATTTATGTTAACAATATTTTATTAATTTATTATACATATGATTTCAGATATGTTGTATCTAGTCGGTTTGGTAGTTTATGGGGTAACCAGTTG